AGAAGAACCCATCCAGAGGACCTTACTTATTTTTTCTTTTAGATTTTTTTCTACCTGGTTTACTGAGATATATCAGGACAGACAATAATACACCATGTAAAAAACAATTGATATGAGGCCTGATAACAAGCTGAGTGGTTAGTCTTTACTTTAGCCTGGAGGATGAAGATGCTGCTACTAGGACTAAAAAAAAAAGGATCCTGAGTTTAAAGCTCAGCTGGAGCATCTCTGTGTGGTTTGTTCTGTATGTCTGCCTCCTGGAGGTGACTGATCATTGGATGTGGAAGCATGTTATATGATGGCACCACCATGTGGACTTTTAGAAACTAGCATCTATAGACACTTTTACAGGCAAGGTGGAACACCCGAGTGAAGTTTCCACTGTTCAAATCTAACAAAACTTGTGTCAAACATTTGTGCATCAACTGTTTTTGTTTGGGCCGATATAGTTTTTAAGATATTTATAAAAGTTTCAGTATTTGGGTGATGAGGGGTGCAGGTTGACCTCTGATGACCTACAAAACTTTTATCATCTTAAAAACAATAGCGGCACAAACAAAACTTTTTATTGGACAAACATTTGACACCAGTTTTGTTTGATTCAGTTAATATGGTGGGGCTAACTGACCTATAAACTTTCATTAATATCTTCAAAACTTCTACAACGTTGTTCTAGGAAGATTTTTGTTTTAACTGAAAATTAATATTGTTTGAATTTATTCTTGAGAAAAAAGGGGCAGATATGTTTTTCTTCTCTCTGCTGCCTCATTGTATTTTCTTTTTTTTATTGTATATATATATATATATATAAATCTATTCCTAAAAGGTTTCTGCTTCCTGAACCGATGCTTAGAGCTGATCCAGCTGAAGGTTCTGCCCACATCACAAGTAAGGCTTAAAAAACAATAAAGTAAATAATGTAAAACTTTATTAATTTCARTCCACTGTGATCAACAGTTCGGATGTTTTCTTTCCTTTGATGGCTGACTTTCTTTTTCCTTTTAAAACTCTTGAAGTTTTAACTCCTTGGTGAGTTGCTTTGAGTGAAAATCAAAATAAATGTTTTGACTGTTTCTACCTGCAACATTGGAGTCAGCCACTAATGAATTATGTTTAAAGAAATAAGTTAAAGGCAAGCTGTAAAAGCAAAGTAAAAAAAGGAAAAAACACCATTTACTCACAGTTAGGTTGTTTGAAATACTGTGCTGAAAGKTTTATAAGAAACAGAACTCTGTGTGTAGATGAATAATACAGCTTCAGTCTACTCTAGGCTCAACAACCCAACAGAACAAAAATCAGCCTAGGCAACAACAAAGACCCAACAAAACAAATTAAAACACAAGTTTTTAGTTCTACAATCTTCACCCTGTTTAAACCATTTATTTTTCTTTGACAATCATGCTGCTGTTGCCTCGCAGCTGAGCGAGCAGCTGTTTGAATCCACACTTCTCCTCAGCTTTCTGCTTGAAGTCCAGCTCTGCTCTGGTTTTCGGGGCAGKGGATGACGGAGCGTGCTGAACAGGCAGCTCTGGATCAACATGTGAATCCGTTTTGGGGCCGCTGCGTCTTCTAGAACCGGCGCGGCTGCTAAAAGATCCATCTGGGTGGTCGAGCACACGGTGAGAAACACTCCTCTTTTGACCTGTATCGCTTTGGAGACGCTGCTGTTTGGCAACACGGCTTCCCTGAGAACTGTCCCTCCTCCTCTTCCTCCTGCTCTTCTTCGTCTCCTTCCTTGCTGCCATCTTGGCACGTCGGAGGTTCCTGACACAAAAATGCATTGAGTGAATTATTCCTGAGTCAATGGGCCTCATGTAAGAACATGTTTGTATTCTTTTCCTAAATTTCTCTTATTTTTGTTCGTACAAAGGGTTCGTACGAACATGTC